TCGTTGGCCATTTAATAATCTTTTTAATTTGACTTTGATGTTCTATTTTATCTATTTATTATTATTAAAAAATTCATTTATAATATTTAAGCTTACTTTTTTATTTTCACTCTTATTTATTGAAATAATATAATTACAATATCAAATAATAGTATGAGCTCATAATGTATCAATTAGTTATTTTCAATTAAAAATTCATTTGTAATATTATATATATGTATTTATTTAAAAATACATTATATTTATTTAATAATATATCATAATTATAAATTTATTATAATTTTAAATTAAATTATAACAATAACACTGTAGTTTATTTGTAATAAAATAAAAAATTCTAATTCATTTTTATAGCTATCCCGAAATAAAACCAGCTCCAAGACCCTGCCCCAATCACTAAAACCTTACCAGAGGGTCCAGACCTTCCCATTTCACATTTTACAACCTTAACAGCCCAAAAAGCCATAAACATGCAACGAAATCCATTAAGACTCATGAAATTCTTATTTTTCCCATGTTAACACCAACCAAGCTAAACCGAGCTACATAAATAAAAAATTATAACTACATAAGCATAGGATAGCCAAGAATCCCCAATGTCTGATGCCGCAGTTAAAATTTCAGATGCTGAAATTTCTGCCCACAATTTCTCAAGAGAAAAATAGAACAAAATGGATTGTTCAAAAAAAAAAAAAAAACATAATTTGCAGATTAGAATAAAATAATCAATAGGAATTCAAATTCGTTGCTAAAATCAATTAATTGCACTCAAAATTGTACTACCCATGAAATGAAGAAGCGAGGACACTGTTAGTGAGGAGTGCTTCGTCAGTGGAGCCGGCTCGTTGGAGGAGAGGAGTCACCGGAAGAGAGGGAGAGGGATGAGAAGATAAGTTTATTTTGATTAAAATGTCTAAAGTATAAAAGCTTTCGTTTTCAAATCTATCCATGCACTCTACCTAATGCAGGTCAAATTAATGTTTTAAATTTAAAGATTGTTTGATATAACGATTTAAACTAATTGTTAGTAATTTTGTATGATATAATAATTGTTAATTATTGTTATTAATAATTCAAATAATATTATTCATTGAATTAGATGAAACTGTTAATATCTATACACTCATCATGCTTAATTAAAGTCAAATGCTTGTACTTTTCAACGAAATTATAGATTAATGTGGACACAAAGGCTTAAGCTCATGAATTGAATTCTTTGCATTTCACAACATTAGAAAGAAAAATAGTAATGCGATTTGCTACAATCAAATCCCACTGCAAAATTAAGGCAGAATTGCCCTTGAACAGATGTTCAACATCCACTTAAAGACATTGTGTGTAGACATCTTGAATTATAAGATAATGAAGCTGAGACAATGTAAATATTGACCTCTAAATATGCTTTGTTTGTGCATATAAACAACATACTTGTTTCAAAAGATGTGGAGAACAGGGGAATCCCATCATACTTCTGGCCGTTTTAGATCTCAAGCAAATGAGACAGTCTTGCTTAATACCAGCAACACCACAAGCAATGACTGTCTGGCAGCAATATTTGGCTTGGAGGAGCTGTCTCCTCCCAATTCCCATCATTCTCAACCGATTAGTTCTCCAGTTCTTCCACATGTACTGGACATATATGCATGATGAAACCATAATGAGAGTTTTCATAAAAAAAAATTCATAATGAGATTTTGTTGATGATGGAAACCACCGCATTCAGCATTCCAACCATCTAATTATTTTTTAGCCCATCCATAACTTCAGTACTCTATCCTTACCACCGGATGCAACCTTCTCACCATCCGGACTCCAGTCAACAGCATAAACCTTTCCGAAGTGCATATCAGAACAATTCAGTCAGCCACATCTAACCATGTAAGCATCCAACAATTTCTTTATCTATCAAGAAGGAAAACATACCTCATCTGCATGGCCTGGAAGGTCTTGTTTTAACTTCTGTGTTCGTATATCCCAAACCTAGAAAATTGAACAATCAGTTCTGTTACTCCTTCACCGTCTAAGCATATGTTTCAAAAGTCTCGAAAGGACCATCTCAACAATTTCAGTAACATCTAATACAAAAAAAATCAATAATTTATAGGAGCTACCTTCAAGGTGGAGTCTTTGCTCCCACTTAAAAGAAGTCTACTGTCTGCGGACCAGCTGGATGGCAACAAGCAAGAAAAATGTAAGTGACATAACAATTAAAAAAGAGGCATAAAGATTGGAGAACTTGGAAACAGCTCAAACCTGATTTGATAAACAGGCCCAACGTGACCACGAAATGCAGCAACAAATTGTCCTGTGGTACCACTCCACAGTTTGACTGATTTATCAAAAGAAGCACTAGCTATCCATCGCCCATCAGGTGAGAAATAAACATGGTTTACGAGCTGCAACAAACCAAAAACAATTATACGGTTTACATTTGCATCCAGAAAATATAACTGAGAAAATAATGTTAAAACTCAATTTCAAACAATAATGTCCCCCAATGTAATATCGCTTCTGGCAATATTCTTGAAATGAAATTACAAGGATGAAAACAGAGTCTAAGTAAAGTTGCACTCTAACAAACAATGGTTACCAATTTGGACTGTAATAAGACAAAAGTAGCAGTCCTATACTTTTTTACCTGTTGATGACCTGTCATACGTGTCTTGGGTTGCTTGCTGACAGAAGGCTCCCAAAGAAACATAGTAAAATCATCAGACCCTGAAACCAATCTTTCAGGGGCATTGCCTTTCATTTTGTTGTACCTTTCCAGGGCAACCTATATTTGATAAATGCAAGGAAATATAATTACTTCTACAGAGGAAAAGTCTCTTAAATGTGTAATGGCAAATCATTTGAAACTACATAATATGTAGCCACCCTGAGTAAAAAAATAGATCAATGACGGCACAGTTCAAAGAATTTTAGAGCTAGCAACCCAGTTTGGACAAAATCCAAGGTTAAAGTTAAATCAAATATGAAGGAAATTGACATTTCAACAGGAACACTGGTTGGAAAACAAAGCTAGTGAATTAAAGAATCTGACCTGTGCAAGTTCTTTTTCAACTAAAAAGAGGTCTTGACACAATAGCAATGGTAAGGCAAGAAGTATAAGGGGAAAATAGAACTATTAGAGTAATTGACTGAGATAGGTAACAAAAGACATAACTAATCCCAAAGGCACCTACCTTTTTCATTTCCTCTGGAGATGAATATTGTTTCCCAGTATGATCGAAAGCTCCAGTTCGAAGAACATATTCAGTGCTCAAAGCAAGGGAGTTCACCCAATGCCCATGACCCTGGAGCAAGTAGGAAATATAATAAGAAAGTCCTCAAGTGCAAACCAGATCTCTTAAAGCAAGCATTCTTCTAAGGACAGAATCATTCTACAACCAAAGGTGAAACTTGAAATGGGCAACAACAAATAGGCCATGCACCACAAAGATGACCTTAAAGATCTTGAATATGTAAGTAAATACAGTCATACACACAATACCAGCAACTAAAGAGGCATTTATGGATGCAACAATGAAATCTGGACCACCATAAATGAATAATTGTGCAAAAGAGCATTACAAATGAACATGAACTAAAATTGTGAGATACTCTAAAGAATGTAAAAAAGGCTACCTTCAATTCACGAATTAGCTTCCCCTGAGTAGTTTCCCAGACTTTAATAGTACAGTCCTGGGAGCTGCAGCCAGTTCACCAGAAGATGTAAGTAATAAACAGATAAAATTTAGAAGCAGAAACAACTGTGTTGAAACAAAATCTAGCAGGCAACTGGTAGCCCTCTCTGTATAGAGGATCAAGTGTAGAATCATAAAAGAAAAATGAAATAAAATGCATACCCTGTGTATATCACTCCATCACCACCCCATTTCACACAAGTTACAGCAAGAGTGTGACCACTAAGACAAATAACACTTCTCCTTAAAGAAATGTCCCATATGCGAGCATCACCATCTTTGCTAGCACTTACAAAGCGACGGCATGGAGCATTCAGATGGACTGGTTCCCAAGAGATACCAGTAATCCATTTTCTATGGCCCTAAAAGTAGATTCAAAATAATAGTTTCAGAGGTTTTGGTAAGATTACTCACTGAAACAAAGAGAAAACTATTCTATTGCTTTTGGCATGACCCAAGTGCAAGACAAGAAACAACAATAACATAGTTATATAAGCATAAAAGAAAAAACAAAAAAATAAGCATTAAGAATTTACAATAAATGGGTTGCCTGATGGCTTCCCTGTCTCTGGGTCCCAGCATTGAAGT